ATGGGCAAATGGAGAAATGGTAGGTAGGGTCTCTCCATCGAGACGTTGTCCATCATATTATTGTTTCATGGGCATGGAGGATCGGGATGGTGCAAAACGGGGGCCGCTCCACCGTTATATCGATTGCCCATTGACGCCTCACCGGCAACCCGCCAAAGACCCCAGTGACGACATGCCGGTCACACTGCTTACATAACCAGTGGCTCGCCGGGTCGCCCAATCGGGCTGGACTGGGCTCATTGGAGCTTGAGCTTGAACGACATGCCTTGTCTCGAGGAGTCTTGTCCGTTGCGCTCCCTTGATCAGCTTGCTTAGAGGTCCCGTCTGGGAAGTGCTGCTAGGGAATGGGGATGACATGCCATTGCTATGCGGTGGTTAAGAGTGGCATCCGCTCCCCGACCTGCCTTAGCTTCCAACAGGTTCACATCGAGCTTGCGAAGGAGCGTGTCAAGCTTAATATCTGAAACGTCTTTTGATCTCTGACCAAACTCAGCACAGTTGTCGGACAATGTCGCAGAAACAATCTCCAATCCCACAAAACGTCGACTCTTTGTCCACTCCATCGTCTTCCATGGCTCCGTTCTCGAGGATTCCTCCACAAAGCATCCACGCAAGTATGGCACTCGACCATGCGGATCCTACTCCGGAGCCGTTTGATCAACCGTCTGCTGGGGGAGCCCCGGATATTTTCGAAAAGCGGGATTCAACCGACGTGGGAGATGGCAAAGATGAGCAGGAGGACTTTCTACAAACCCGAGATCAGATTTGTGGGGATAATTTTGATGATCTCCCTATTGAAATGATGAGCTTGACCGACAGGTGGGCGCCTTCGCAATTGCAGAGTTGAATGTTAAATAGACTGATTCCAAGCGTCCAGATTTGTTGAATCTCTAAGCGCTAAGGTTTACGATACTCCTCCTTCGATAGACAAACTTGCCAGCCTATTTCAAGACTTCTACATTCGCGCTTCGTCGCGTGTCGAGACTCATGTCTCCATTTTAGCATCTCGACTTCGCCGTGGAAATTCGCCATCTCCTGCTCGTCCTCAAACAAGCTCCAAGTATTCGTTTTCGTCAAAACGCATTTCCTCTGCGGGTGATAAAGCTGGCTCTGACAAGACGTTTTCGCAACAACAAATGCTCACGGCGACTGAAGTTGCTGAGCGACGGCGGACCCGGAAACTATTCCAAATCAAGCGTCAAGTATTGGAAGAAGCCATTGAGCGGCGCGCATGTGAATCCGTCTACGATAAAATCTGGCGCCATAGAAGCACTTTGGATGAAGTAAGAGATGAAAAATTGCGCTCAAAAACCGCCGCACTATCTGTTGTAGGGTTTGGTTTGAAAGATCTTGGAGTCGAGGTTGATGCCAGCAAACAGGAAACTACACAATCTGAGGAGTGGCTTGCGAATGCAAGGAAAAGCCTGATGCAAATGAGTGACGCGAAATTTCCCCTTGGTAAACTTCAACACCTTACTGCGGCGCATAAAGCGATTGTTGATAGCTTGACCAAAATTTTGCCTTCGTCGTCATCCGCCGACGAAATTCTACCCACCCTCATTTACGCTCTAGTGACTTCGCCTCCTGAAGGGATGAGCGTGATTAGCAATCTCTTATTTATTCAGCGATTCCGTGCTACCGCTAGGATTGATGGAGAGACGGCATATTGCCTCACGAATTTAGAAGCAGCCATCAGCTTCTTAGAGAATGTTGATCTCACCAGTACTGAGAATATTGCCGGCAACTCCCGTCATCCTAATAGCTTGCAAGATTCTATTGAACCTCAACAAGTGCACGATCTTAGTCCTGTCTCTGTTCCGTCATCTAGGATAACTGTGACCTCCACCGTGGGCCATGGTGTTGCACCAGGCCCGCCAAGAGACAATTCATTGAAACCGGCCTCGACTGGGCCTCCGCAGCACCGTCTAAGCAGTATTTTCCAACCTCCAGCGAAGGCTTTGGAAGCAGCCAATGATATTGTACGCAACACCGCTGACCAAGGCATCAAGAATATTAGCAACACACTTGATAATAGCTTCAAGTTTTTATTTGGTCGACTGAAAGAGGTCCAGCTCAAACAAGGCGATGGAACACAGGGTGCCGTGGGGATTGTACCAAAAACCCTTGATGATGCCCGTCGACTAGTCAATTCTCCCGCTGGTATACCAGATGATCTCTCCGGCGAAGATCCGCCAGCCAAAGAGGAAGGCCCTGCCACCTCCTGCACCCCTACAAGATCTCGGCTTGATGATAGATTAGCTAGCCTTGTTGCAGGGCGAAAACCAGTTAATAATCATATAATTAAACACACAGAAGGGGAATCGGGAGGTAATAGCAAGGCTTCTTCCACTTCCGCATCTTCGAACCCTCAAATGAACAATCCTCCTTTTGGCTCGATGAGGGGTTTTGGAAACACTTTGAATCCGTTGAGCCATATTCCTGGAATGATCCGTGGGCTAGGGAGGAGCTCAACCGAGCCCAGCCAAGGTACGGCCGTGGCAGGAGACGGGCCCGAGTTGTCAGATAACCAGCCTGGTCTTCTCAAAGAGAAGAGCTCCATCACTGGCATTGCTCCCCCGATAAAGAGGTTTACCGAACTGGAAGACGCTACCCACCTAAAGATTGGTGACATCCCTGAACTCCTTGAGGATTATAAGAGACTTGCATCAATTATAAACAACTTGAGTACAACGTGACGGCCTATTGCCATGCCCCTGTTAGCTTGTAAGGGGCCATGGAATACTAGTTTTAGGAACATTTTCTCGGCCTTCCTGGACAGTTCCCTTCTCCAGTGTTTTGTATAAACACTTGCGCAAGATCCATGAGAGTTATAATAGACAGCACATCCCTTTCCAGTGGTTGGCTCCCTTGGGCTACGAATTTGACCCCGTGAAATTTATGATACCACCCACCTTGGTTTATAGCAAGGCAGAATCTTATATCTTATATCATCACAAAAATAACGGCTTCTACAGTTCCCTCATCTTGGAGATTAGCATTTTTAGTTAACTTGTCAAAGTATCCTTTTCTTTTACGGGACGCGGAGCCATTTCTCAAAACTAATTTCATTACAATCTCCATAGTATAATGACGCCTTCTTTCCGATTTCGAATACATCAAAGGAAAATACGTCAACATAGGAACAAGCAATAATCTAACAAATCAAAGCGAAATGTCCCAATTCTTCAAAGTTAGACTCCAGGCTCCAGTATGTGGAAAAATCCAGAACGCTGCTTTACGATCTACTTCGGCTCCTCCTTAAATGTACTAAAAATTCCGTTACTTGGAGTTATATTTTTCTTTCCATATCCTAATATCAGTTGAATCACTGTCAGTATGTTGAAAACGCCAAACAACGTAATATACGGACCACGTACCATGTATTACCAAGGGTTTTATTTCCATTTTCTTCCGCTAGACGGTAGTATTTGGCGGCTATGTACTATCCGAGATGTAAGCTAGCAGTTCTGTAGTCTTGCTTTGCAAACCTTACCTTGTTTTTCTTGCCTCCGAATCCTTCAAGATAGCACCAAGCCGCCTCGTTCATTGCATCAGCATCGCCTAAATTCGCTGCGGTTTCGTAATACTGCCTCGCAGCCACAGGGTCTTTAGATACACCCCATCCGTGACGAAGGCAGTTTGCTAACTCAAAAATTGCGAGGACAAGTTCGCCCTTTGCGGCCCCACCTTTTTTTATTCCCGCGCGTAAGGCTTCCGCTTCGATGGAGGCAGAGTTGGCGGCTGCTGCTGAGAGATACGTGATGGCAAGTTCATGATTTGGCTTACACCCCCATCCGTGTCTAAAAAAGAAATTTTAGTCGTTGATATTCTCATGTAGGATTCCGAGAAGCCTAACCTTAGTGCCAATCCATAGAGAACCTGGCTCAAAGCATTATTCTGACCATTCGGGTCGGCAAGGCGGCCGAACATCATCGTAGACTTAGTTAACTCTACCCAATCCCGGAATATTAGTCTAACAATTCATACGGATGGCCGGACCGGCCCGGACCAGGATCACAACATACCCCCTGCCTCATGTAGCTTGATTGCCTCTTGTATATTCACCTAAACACTCGCGCATGAGCGGGGTTTGCGCTGGGGATACTAGGTTCGAAGGTGTCGATACTCACATCATCCTCTGGGCCGCTCAGTCTCCCCATGCTTGAACTTCGTGAACGCGGGCTTGGAGACCGTGGTGACGAAGGCCTGATATTCATCGGCTCTTGTGCCAACAGTGTTGCACGCTTCTCCCACTGAGCTTCCCTTTCCTGTGCATCACCGTTTTCCTCCACGGCCGGCAGGTTCGTGGGGAGGTTGATGGAAGAAGTGCTTCCAGATCTCGACCTGCGGCCTAAATGGAGCCGGTGAGAAATACTTCCTTTCTCCCTTGGCGGCGACCACTCATTCCCTGCGATATTAGACGCATTAGATGAACGGTGAAGGCGGCCAAAAGGTTTAGCCTCTGGAGCGCTTGTAGTTGGCGAGTCACCAAAACTCGGTGGTAGGATAGCTTCTTGAGTGTGTGTATCTGATCGAATGAATTTGAACTCGGGAGGCACTATTAGCCCGGGAGACACTGGTTGAGCGTGGCCGTCATATCTGGATTTATCTTTCTTTTTCAGAAGGTCCTTCAGCGTCATATTGCTTCGCGGTATGATGTTGGGCTCCTAAATTGAGCAGGCTAGAAAGGTGCTTCTGATGTATCGCAAAGGTTGCGGCAAAACCCTTCCAAGCTTGAGGAAGATGGATAGTTATTTGTTCGAAGAGTGAAATATGAAATGAAATCGATGGGCGTCGTCATCGATTTAACTAATATGCCACTGTTCAGTGTTCATTCGTCGTTTCATCCCCATCCTTGCGCAACATAGCCCACGGGCGCTTCAGCTATGTTGCGGACATGGCGGCATCGCAAGAGTGGCAGTGTCGGAAACTCCTCTTCATTGATTGTTATGCAGAGGTTCGAGACTTCTTGGCGTGTGGTGAAGCCACATACAAATCTTTATCTCACGATAATCAACTCTTCAGACCTGATAATTTCTATATATTGACCCTAATGCTTGATTCTGTTGTTCCTTTTCTCAGACTCTTCTTGTCATTTCGCGATAATTAGCAAATGTAATCCTAGTGTCTACCACTTACAGCGGAGGTCATTTACAAGAAAGCCAACCAAGTACATCTGTAAATTAATATTAACTAGTTTAATGGTGATATTTCAATCGATCAAGATCATGCGGCTTTCTCAAGTCCGTGGCATCACCTGTCTGCAGAATAATATAGTTTCATTTTATCGAAGGTTGAAAGTAGTATAGATTCGAGCCAGCGAAAACACACAAGACGTGGCTCTGATGGCAAGGAATTCCGTCTCAAATCTGGCAAAGAGTAAAATTCCTTCCCGGTAAATACGCAGCGAATGTCAGGGTGCACAGAGAGAAAATGCTTTGGGAAACCTGGGGATAATAGTATGTAAATGTGGGAAAAGCTAAAAAGCGGTACCTGCAACCATCAAGTGCATGCCAGCAGAACAGGCAGAACACGGGTTTCATTTGAGCCTACCCTATATAAAACAAAGTGCCTGGACTGAAGCTACTCAGTACAAAAAGCGGTTGAGCTCTTTCGCGATAGAAGAAGCGAGCAGCGTCAATGCTCTTGCGATCAGGATGTAGGTTCGCACAAATCTAGAACGAGTCTCTAATTCTCAAGTTTTGTACACAAAAAAGAAAACCTAAGCGTTATATTGAATACCTATTGAGCCTTTGACGAAACAATCCCTGCAATGTCTTGTAAGTAAGCGCGAACATAATCGGGATACGATTCCACTTACGCTCAACATCGGCCACACTTTGCTGCAAAATCTGCTGGAGGAGCTTAGGATTCTCCAATTCCTTTTGGATCTTGGCCATGACATTTTCTGCAAGCTCCCGCTGCTCGCGTTGCTTGACTTGACCCTCGTATTGAACCCAAGAATCAAGGACCCTTTTTGCTTCAGCAGCAACGGCGGTGCGCTGTTCCAATTCGAACGCTTGAGCTTCCAATCGTGCGGTTTCCTAGATGATAGATAAGTCATCCAACCCCGTTGCTCCTCGGATCTATATCAAAATGCGGGCATACCTTCGAGACTTCAAAAAGTTGCTTCGTAATGTTGACGACCTCGCTCAATGGCTTGACATTCTCGATGCGCTGAGTGACAGCACTGGTATGGTCTGCGCGAGCCGCGTAAAGGATGTCCTTCTGCTTCTGGATCTGGCCTGCCGCCCACTCCTTATGCATGGGGCCCGCAAGTTTAAAGACAGCGGTGAACACGCTGAGAAGGCAGAACGCCGCAACGGTCTCCTCGTTCACGATATAGAGTTCATTGCTGATAGCGGCAATTGCAAGACCGGCACCTCCAGACAAAATGGCGGTCTTTGAAACCAATGAGTTCCCTGGCAAGGCATCGATGATAGATTGAGCCTTTGTTTTTGGATCCTCGGCTGGGACATTGGAGGCGAATCGAGTTGAGGTGATGGGGGAAAATGCGGGAAGCGCTCGGGTAGAGAGAACAGGGCGGACACGAGAAGCGCCTGGCGCGCAAGTGGGTAAGCAAGGATCAAAAAAAAGTAACCCAGCGGCTGTATCAAAGCATTATGACTTACCAAGGGCGCTCTTTGCCAATCGCGACGCCATTGTGATGCGTGGACTGTGGGAAAGCTGGCTGTTGGTGGACGGGTGTACGTTGGATGGTTTTAGTTCTGAACTTCGGATGTGGACGAGGGCGCTAGCCGAAACAGGCAAGGCGCCTTGTCGCTCTTCTTTTTTTCAACATCCGTCGATGGCACCGGGGGACTGAGGGAGAGATTGCAACATCTCTCGCCAAAAAACGGAAAACCCCTATTCATCGCCATAATGCTAGGCTCTATACCCGCAACTCATGTTTCCAAAAAGCGGAAGAAAACCGGCAAGGATTCAACTCAGGTCTCAAGCAAGCGGAGAGCCACCGGCAATGGTCAGGATGCGGAGAAGCAAAGGATTCAGCAATTGGAAACTCAGATATCAGAATCGCGCAAATATTACAATAACATCGTGACCCTGTTGTCAATGCTCAATGCCGAACGTCCAAATCTTGCCGTTGCAGTATCTCTTTGTAGGGTGTTTTGTCGGCTTATCGCTGGGGGACATCTGCAACAGGCAAAAGGTGCAAGTGAGCAGGACGCGATCCTAGTCGCTTGGTTGCGAGAGAGGCACCGAGAATACAAAACCGCACTGATAATGATTCTCAGGAATTCAGATTCATCTTATCAGGTGCGAATTCATCTTCGTCTGATCTCGAAGACTATGACTAAAGGTTTTCCCAGGCCACAGCCCTGCCTCTGTGCATGCGACTCATAAAAGAACAGTCACCCCATCGTATCAAAGGAAAATCCCATGCGTGGGATGATGAGTATTTCAATGATGTTATCTCTGCCCTCGTAGAGGCCAACGACGGTGACCGAGTCAGAGCGGAGTTCTCCAGCAAATTCTTAAGAGAGTACCACGATGTGGCTGTTTATACTGTGCTTGGTCTGATGTATGTGTCCCTGTAACACCGTTTTACCTGTTATAACCACTAACACTCTTTATTCGCTTCGCTTTAGGAAATATCTATCATCGAAACCGGCCACAATTCACCTATCCAACGTCGTCTATCTGCTCTCACAGCTCGGAACCCCGCCTCCCGGAGATCATAACTTTGAGACTTTTTACACCGATATGTCTCAAGTGGGCGAAAAGCTCAAGGGACCATTGGCATCAGTAAACTCGTATAAGCAACGAGTTCAAGCTGCTTGGTTGCTCGTTCTCTCGCGTGATCTCCCAAGACCCCTCCGGAAGAAGTTGCTGCAAACCATGGCCCATGAGATTGCTCCATGGTTTTTGAAGCCAGAGTTCCTCATGGATTTCCTTACCGACTCCTTTGACCAGGGCGGCTCAGTCTCGCTTTTAGCCCTTTCCGGCCTATTCTACCTGATACAACACAAGAATCTGGACTATCCACAATTTTACCTCAAATTATATTCCCTCCTCGACGCTGATCTTCTACATTCCAAACATCGATCGCGATTTTTCCGACTCCTCGACACGTTCCTAGCCTCGACTCACCTTCCAGCCACGCTAGTCGCAAGCTTCATAAAGCGACTCTCTCGACTAGCGCTGAACGCCCCTCCCGCGGCTATTGTGGCCATTGTGCCCTGGATCTATAACCTCCTCAAATCTCACCCAACATGCACGTTTATGATCCATCGCGCTGTTCGGGATGACTCCTTAAAGGCTGCAATTGACACGGAGGGGATGGACGATCCCTTTGACGCCCTTGAACCAGATCCCACACTGACGAATGCTATCGAAAGTAGTCTCTGGGAGATTGAAATGCTTCAGTCGCACTATCATCCGAACGTAGCGGCTCTGGCAAAGATCATCTCCGAACAGTTCACGAAACAAGCATATAACCTGGAAGACTTTTTGGACCATTCGTACCAGGCGCTGTTGGATGCAGAATTAGGCGAGGTGGAAAAGAGGTTCAAGAAATCGCCTGTAGTAGAGTTTCAGATCCCAAAAAGAATATTTACGAACCGACTACTTGAGGAGAATGATGGAAAAGACAATGAGGTCGGGAATCTCCTTCGGCAGCTTTGGGCTTTCAAATGACGAATAATTGCTAGCCCCGGGTAATTTGATATTTGCGTGACTATGATGCAAAATCAATTATCGTTCTGTTAATATCTTTCAGAAATCAACGAGATTTCATTTGAGCAGCCTTTAGTCAGTAATAGAGAGTCTCACTATCATATTACGGGACAACTATTAATGGAGCCTTAAAATTCTATCTCCGAAACAGAAAGGGGAAACAACCAGTCAAGGGGTTTGGTGGTAGATAAACCTGTAACACATCCCACATGGGATGGGAAATAATAATTATAAATCGCCCGGGCATAAGCGCGGTCGTTCTTTCAAAGTAGTTGTTCATATTTAACGAGAGTCAAAGCCGGTCCATCTCATTCGATGTGGAGGATACTGCTCATGTCAGAGTCCGAGTCTTCTGGCTCTTCAGGGTCGGAATAATTATCGTCGAACCCTGCGGATGCTGCTTGGAGAGCCATGTGAAATTCGTTGCTGAAGCCTGGTCTGGAAGGAAGGTCTGGTTGTTGGTTGACATAGTCTTCTGCACAAGCCTTCCCATCAGCTTGCTTATCCTTTTCTTCGGCTTCGGCATCCCCTGGATGGTAGTCGCCAAACGGGTCAAGGGCGAATATCCCTCTTTTCAAATCATCAAATAGCATCTCAGGAACGTCGACCGGTATGTTTTCGAGATCGAGCCGCAGGTCATGAAAGATTTTCTGTGCGCGAGACCGTCTAATATTTCGCCATCTGACGATTTGTTGCTCCATCTGATGCCATACGGCTCTTGCTTCGTGCACGGTCCGCAGCAACGCCATGCGCTTGCCAATATTGTAGGTGATATGGCACATGTTTTGCGCGGTTGCGCGGAATAACTGATCTAGCTCCATGTAGACGGTGCTGACAACCAAAGTGATCGTCCGGGCAAGATTGGCGTCGTAGATCTGTCTCCAGAAGAGAATCCAGTTTTGCAGGCCTAAACGAGCTTTCCGCATCCGGGTCAACTCAAGTGTGACAATGATTTTGCGGCACATTGCAAGGTCCTGCGCTACATAATGACGGAGACTTAAAACCGCCTCTGACGGCTCCGATCTAAAAGTGACGGACTTTATTGCAGAATCCGGGATATTGGCCTCGGGTTCCTGGTCTAGCGGCGGGTCCTGAGGTAGGTACTGCAAGCACTTGACGGTGTTATCCGGTGTTGTCACTCGTGGCCGCAACGGTAGGGGAATTCGAGACAAATATAGCTTAGGGCTGAGCGGGTTATACTGGACGGGCTTCATATTTGCGAGCGAATAGTAAGAAGCCAAAAAAAAGAACCGGATATCACAAATAGATATTGGTTGATAATATAGGTACACAGCTAGAGGGAATATAAATACTCAGCGCAGGGAAAACAAGAGAGAGATTGTTTGGGAAAAAAGAGCTGCAACAAGAAATTCACGAGCTTGTCTGCTCGCAAGACTCGCTCGCGCCCGAGTATCAGGCGTCGAAAGCGCAGCCAAAGCTCTGGAAAGAGCACCCGCGAATTTACCGAGTTGCAGGGAACGAAGGAGCGAAAACAACCTGGACGCCATCGCGACTGTGAACCTGCGATGTGCGTGTCCATCGCGTCAAAGGATTCGAGAGATGATCACGCTTTTATAGGTTGCCGACCTGCTCTCTAGGTTTCTCATCTAGTATGATTAGATGTACGGAGTACTCCGTACATACTCATATATTTTGGGGCGGTCCTTATAGTAAGATCAGCCGAAAGTCCAAAGATAAGAGCGTCGTTTGCCAGATGGCTGCATTAACAGAGGGGAAACCGCTCGTTAACCGTTGACAGGGAAGAGAAAAGGTTCAAGCTGGGAAGCATGCATTTGAAGTTGGGAGGGTAACACCAGGGCGGATGAAAGAACTCGAACACAAAAGACACGGCCGGCTTCTGGCAGCATCCATTGCACAACAAGACTCAGAATCGGGAAGACTTTGTTTCTCTGTTTCGCAAGAGATAATTTGCACGTTCCGCGTGTCTGGAAACATGCCTTGCCAGAGACGGAGCAGAAGCATGAATCCCAAAAACGCCACTCTCTGGCTAGACCAAGCTTCTCGGCTAGTTAGTTAACTAGTCTGCCTGGGCCCTTGCAACTGCGAGGTCAAGAGGAGCTAGCCAACAAGTTCGCCCTCTCAACCAGGCAAACAGTGCAACTGCTGCAAAGAAACTTGTGATGCCAAAGATGATGGTGGAAGAGTGTGAGATCTGCAGGTTTGCTCTCCTGCAGCTGCCCTGCACCCCTGGACTCTGTGCCAACTGTCCTCTGGAGTGTGCGACTTGAGCTGCTAGCTCTGGATGTGGACTAACTAGAGCACCGTCACGCGTCGATTCCCCTATTCTTCTGGTGCGGAGATTAGCTGCAACCAGGGATGGGCACGAAGACCCAATTAGAATCGCCTGTGGAGCTGCGAATCGCTCAGTCATGGGGGAGAGACTCTGATCCCCGGGCTGTCGAGGGCCACCACCCGCGAAGCCATTAAAACTCTTCTCCCCCTGGCCAACACTCCCAATCCCTTTCCACCCCTTTCCTCTCATTAATTCGGTCTTTTCTGAACGCAGTCACTCCTTATTTCGCATTTACTGCACTTTCACTCTTTATTCTGCCTGTTTTCCAGTCGCTCTCTAATTACTCTGCAATTGCCTCTGCAGTAGATCAGTCACTCACATCTATCGTCACTTGCTTTCACGCGTTCAAAGACAATGCATTTCTTCAAAACTTTGCTTGCAGGCGCTGCCTTGGTTGCCTCCACCGCTGCCCAAGCCAGACTCGCATTCACATCTTTCCCAAGCAATGTCCAGGTTGGAAAGCCAGTGGTGGTGACATGGAGCGGTGGTATCCCAACAAAGGTATGGATGAGGTTGCATCTGGCTGCGCTCGCAACGTGAATACTAACTATCACAGCCTGTTACCATCACATTACGAAAGGGCCCCAGCGATGACCTCAAAGATGTTGCTGTGTTGACCTGTAAGTTGCTGCGGCACTCGACTTTTTCTGCCATTCAATCAATTTTACTTACTGTTGCTGAGCAGCTACTGCGACTGGCGGAACTTTTACCTGGACCCCGTCCTCCTCGCTCGTCGATGGACCTGATTATGCTCTTCAGATTAGCCAGGGTTCCGAAATCAACTATACCAACCTTTTCCCCATCACTGGTGGTTCCGGCACTGCGCTTCCATCTACCACCGCCGAAACTTCGTCTCTTGCCGTATCCACTACTGTTCGGCTCACCACTGCCGTCACCACCTCCCATGCTAGCAGAGGCACGACCCTCAGCATCTCCAGGAACTCGACCATCAGCACCCCAACTCTCACCAGCACCAGAGCCGTTACCCTGACTCCAACTGCCACTCCAACCGAACCCGAGGTTATTCCCACAGACGCCCCAAATGCCGCCCCGGCCATTCTGTCTAGTCCCGTCGCCCTTTTGCTTAGCGCACTTGTCGCCTTTGCATACCTCCACTAAGCCATTTTCGCCTTTGCTTTTTTCTAACCCCGTCATGACTTACCGCATCAATGGTGTCTTTCGCAAGGAAGCCAGGCAAAGTATGATCTCTCTGGATTGCGTTCGCTTTGCCCACTTTTGATGCGCAAAAGGGAGACGCTTCCCCCTCCCACATTATTTGTTTTAATTCATGTAGAGAAGTCTAGCGTCGATAGGATTTATTTTTCTCTTTTCTCATTCTTGCCAGAACTCCAGCTTGTTTCCTTCTTCTATTCTTCTTGATTTCTCCCCATCTCGGATCGCTCTGTATTCCAGCGAGAGTGTAGTGGGGTTCATGTTGCCATACGATGTACCAGTGTTTGGTCATTACATGGGACGTTTGAGGATCTGACCATCCCTAGGAATAATCCATTTTCAATAGCTTGATGGTCAAATATTTTGCATAAGGGGTATTCCGGTCGGTTACGAACTATGGCGGTATGGAATTCATGCAGCTCATTGGCACTGACTTTCTTGTGGACCATAAATTGCTTTTGTAAAATCCGACGAGCACTTCGTAGGTTTGCTGGCCTCTGGGTGCGGTTAAACCCCCTTGACTCGATAAATGCATCATTCAAGCCGGCAATACTCCCTAATTTCTGAACCATGATGTTGTTTTCTCTGTGTTTTGGTATATTATCAGATGTTTGTTTCAGGTTCTGGAGAGGAGCTCAAGCCAAACAGCGACACGAGTTCGACACATCGTTGTCATTTCACATTCAGCCGCCGGCATTTGGTTTTCTGACATCACTAACTAGCTAGTTATGTAACTAACCATCTCTTTCTTACGATCTTCTCGTCTGAACTCTCTCCCATTCCACACAAGGCTGGGTGTCCCAGTATCCGCTGTGCTCTATTTCACGCCTGTTGACTTTGTGTGTTTTACCATAGAAATAGCGCGCTCAGACCTGACAGCTGCCTTCCGACAGACAATCATTTCTCGGCTTGCTCTTTGTCTACAATGGTGGTCAAACAATGAAGGAACCTCAGCTTCCCTCTGAAATCGATTCAATTCAAATTCAGAGACTAAAGCTGAATCCATCCGGTATTGTCATATCTGATCGTTCCCTTCCTGCAACTCTCCCGCTACTTTGCGCCCCATTGTTTTACTGCAATGAACCACGCAAGGATAGTAAAAAATCTTTTGGGCATTGGAAGAAGTTCTGACACTCTATCGGTCGGTGCCGCTTGTCCAGCAGAACCTCCGCCGCAAGTCTCTCTCGCAACAGTCGAACCACAGTTGAATATGCACCAATATAATGGCCTATTCGACACGACAACCTCAACCCCTGAAAGGCAGGCCAGCACCGTAGCGGATAGTGTACCCGGTAGGTGCGCGTTCGTGATTTGCACCATCAGCGTTTGTAGCTCACAAGGCTCATCTTCAACCCGTTAGATGCAACGTCTCGCTCACCAACTATGACGAACGGATCTTCCACGGCAGCGGAATGGTCCTCAGCCGTCGGGCACGCCATGACCGGTAAATCCGGCAGGGTTATCCATAACCTCCAAGAGGACATTGCGCGTTTAACCCGCGAATGTAGCCTTTATCGGTCTCGAGCGGAAGAGGCACAACGGATGAATGAGGCGCTCAAGCAGCAACTGCAGACAGTAATAGACCGCCTGAGGCACTCAGAGCAGGCTTATGAGATGAACCTTGCCGCTGTTGAGCGAAAGGACAGAAAGATCGAAGACCTCAAGGCAGAGGTTCTTAACGAGAAACAAAGACGGATACAAGCCGAGGAAGATGCACGGAAAACTACGCAACTCGCCACAGAGGAACGAAATGAGCATCATCGAGCCCTTGCCGAAGCGCAAGAGACCGCTCAACAAGCACAGTCTCAATATGAGACCCTGGCTCAAACTCGTTTGAGGGATAAGCGAGAATATCAGTCTCGCTTCAACAGGTTCCGCAAAGAATTAGGAGAGCTTTCTGCCCGAGAGATAGAAAGACGGAATCAGCTCAATCGAATCGATGTCATTGTCGAGCAGAAAAATCGAGAGATTGCTGCGGGCCGCGATCGTATGGAACGGTTCAGCCGATTATTTGAAGAGTACAAGCTGGACAGAGATGAGAACATGAGGAAGCTTATTGATAAAGGCTATCAGAATGACCTCGCAATTGATGAAGCGGTTGCAGAAGCACTGAAGGTATCAGAAAAGATGAAATGGGCGATGAATGTGAAGAAAACAGTCAAGGGAGAAGAGTAGATGCCCGTATGTCGACAACGAATAACCGGGCAAACGTCTCGCCTCGGTTCCTTCAGATACTGTCGATATCTCTGATGAGCCCATGATTTGTGGTTCTGTCTCTGGTCCCCAAAAGAAGGTCCCCCAAAGCTCGCAGATACCCAGTTCGCGACTGTGTCGATACCATATGTTTGGGCGCTGCTTGGGATGTCTCCCGTTGCGCAGAAGTTTGACCCCATGCCAAAGCTTGTTGGGGGCTAAAACGACACGGCGTTAAGGATTGAGCCTCCTAGTTCCTTTCATGTATCTACTAATTACACCTGTTCACAGGATCACCCTCCAGAGGGTATCCAAGAGAAAATATGCCCCCAGGCGGGAGCCCACCCTTCGCCCGGTACACCACGAATGCCTCGAGAACACCGGGATATTGAGTGGTCATATTTTCCGAAGAGCAAAAATCAACCAATTCTTACATAGAGTTGTATTCACAGAAATGGGCCAAAATATTCCCTATCATTATCTTTGTCTTACTTCCCGCTTTAGCAGGCCTCTTGCTCTTCTCAATTTAAAAGCACTGATATGAATTGATACCCTTTCTTTATGATAGCAATGTATGCATTAACATGCAGGAATCCACCAGTCTTTTTTTTTCTTTTCAGAAAACTCGTGTTTCAAGATGTTTGTGGGCCCCACTGAAGGCTGGGACACCATGCATGTACACGTCCGAACATCTGTTTCTCTTTTTCTTTCTGTTTATCTACATGAAGTTTTGTGTTGGCAATGGGAATCTACCCCCCTAGCTAGACCGCATAGCACGTGCCCAGCTTACTACATTGAGGTTCCCGAGTAGCTTACTGGGCATTCACCTTGCTTTGCCCTTTGTGATCACTATCACAATTGTCCTGCACGCACTTATTTCTGCTATTGCTTTCATGCCTTGATGCCTCTCAGCATATGAGAGCGTCTGGCATGGAACACCTCGCAACTACATTCTAAATTGACCCCTCACCCACGCAGAGTCCCAAATCAGATGTGCCATCTGGTGCTTACCTAACAGAGCAAGTCACCATCCCAGTTATATTGCGTCTCACCGTCTTGCCTTCTCCTAATCATCCATTGCAAACACTTGCAAGATGGATGAATGCCAGAAGCTGACAGTGGCATCAACCTGGAGGTTTGATCCAGAAACGGTATTTCCCTCCCCTGCTGTAGCTCATTGCCCTATTATAGTTGCATGGCTGACGGATTCCGGGTTTTGAAGGTCCTCAGAATACGATCGCACCTCAAGTATTTTCTTTCATCAAGTTGGCTTCTAGGGCGCCAGGGCCTGCTGACATATAGCTTCACAGGCAACTGGAAACACAAGAGCAGATCTTCTGCAAATACGAACCACTGACTGATGTGAGCAGTTCTTTCCTAGACATAATGAAAACTGAAATGGAACACTAACTTCATGTCTATAGGTACTCACCTTTGATAGCCATGGGATCATTGGGGTAGCTTCTACTCTCGGTCAGCTTTTAGCATCCGTCATCGATGATGAAAAAGATAATGACTTACTGGAGGTATTTAGCCCCCTAAATTGTCACTCCAGTGAACTATGGAGTAGCCCAAATTAAATTCTGTTTCAGAAACCTAAAATAAGCCGAATCATCGTTCCTTCACCAGCGCAGGAACTCGATCGTGAACCTGAACCAGCCGATGGCGAACCTAATCTCATTGACACATCTGTGGACATGCAAGAAGATTTACCAGCCTCTTTTCAAAGCAAATACTGGGAGTCGAAAGATGGTGGAATTGAATGTTTCCTCATGCTACCATATGATTTGTTAGCTGAGGTTGCCGATGCAACTGGGGCACATTTATCATTGGAAGCAGAAAATCAACGAATTCGGGTATCCAGCAATATCCCAGCGTGGATCGAAAATGCCCTTGATAAACTTACCAATTTGGAAAGGTCGATTGTAAGCCTTTGTTATATCTTCCGCCCTTCCTGTTTCTTCATGTCATGAATAGACAATGGCTGCGGCTGACTATCCAACTGTAGTCACTTTTGACTTCGCCTCATGTTGAAAACATCTTGCATGTACCTGAGGGCGAAAAATTTCGCTTGAGGCTGCGTTTATACGGAAGCCTGAATAACCTCGCTCTCCGGCGTCTGCTCGTTGACCCATCTACAAAAGGAGCAAACCAACTTGGGAAAATGTACGCGACTTCCATAGAGTTCTTGAATCCAGATACCAAATCCATTGAGACACCAAAGAACATTGTTGCACCACCACGCCCGACACCCCTCAGGAAAGGGCATTCTAAATTGTGGAATGATTACCTATGTTCAGAACTTGGAGATGCTGCGAATCTCCTAGGCCTTCCTCAAGTCGACGTTACACCCACTCATGAACGACTCTGTCTTTCGAAAGAGACAACCTCACCGATTCCACTGGAGGAAGCAGAAACCGATAATCACCCGTTCCTCAGTCGAGAAAAGGTGTCACGTGTGGATAAATGGGTCACTGAAGGTTTTGAAGCTGGTGCTGTAGGACCCTCGAGCTCTGAACCAAATATCCTTGACGTCCCTTCGCCAGAATTAGAACCCCCGCCGGCGACTGTGGCGGGTATAAAAAGACGAGTGGCCATGCCTATTGGCACGAGCATCCATAAAACCTCCGATGCACCCGAATCGAAGAACGCCATCCCCAAGCCGCTACCTATTGCTACGACTAGCCCACCATTTGAGCCACATTCGATGTCGACCATCCCAGACAAGTCAGAAGTACGAGCGTCATGTGTGAAGCCATCGGGCAGTCAAAATAAAACCACCGATCTAATTGACATGTCATCATGTCCAAATATGGTACCGGCATCGATCCCCAAATTATCATTCTATCAGTCGCCCCTTATTCCTACCAGGGTCGCGCAAGATGCCTTTCCTGTTACGTCAAGACTCTCAAGCACAACGCCGCATGGAAACTTAGTACTGTCACCTGCATATCCCAAATCCACGGTGCAATCTCATGCAATTGACAAAGACAAAGAAGATCAGGATCTAACCGGTGCGTGCAGGATGAATTACGATCTTGATGAGCCAGCTTCGACCGGGAAGGACCAGCTTCAGTGCATCGCCGTATCAGGGGAGAATACCGAGTCGCCGAATCTTGACCCGTTAGGGGTATCGAGCCGAAAGCAAGGGTGTCCACCACTGAGAACTTTGAATAGCAGCACCTACGGTCACTTTTATAGTGAATTGCCTAATCGCAAAGATGCGGCAGTATCAAACCCTGAACAAATAAAGGAGCGTTTACAAGGAGTAAGTGAAATTGATACTAGGATTTTTCGGAAAACAATGAGGCAACAATCCGCAGTTACTGAGAGCAAACGCGGTTCAAAAGCAAGCCGGAAAGCGAAAAAGCAAGCCACTATTGCCAATGCTTGGGGAACTCCTGTGTTATTAGCGGGGAATGTCTCAGCGAAACAAACGGATGCTTCGGGGCCCAGCAAATGGAAGAGAGAGCAACAGGCAGAGTCAAAAACCAGTGAGACTAACCGCATCAAGGATCTTTATAATACATTAGATCCAATCCTAGCCGCTGTTCAACGGTTTACTGGTATTCTGTCTTTGGAAATCCAGTTTGGGATGGTTTTGATCCACAGTGTACCGAAAATGTACGCTGATAAGGCAATCGATGTGAAGACATGGGAAAGATTGTTTCGGCCACAACACGGAATTCGAGGACCAGGCACCAGATTTATGAACCTTTTGACAGCGTCCGGAGCAGACGTTGACTACATCCTTAGTCTAAAGGATGATGCTAGGCATCGGGAACTTTTTGCCGGGAGCCCCTCGACCCGCCATATTACTTACGAGTTCCATTGCCAAACCAAAAACAACCAACTGATTGTGGTCAATGTCAATGACTCGGGGGAGACTATTGTTACGAGACCTGAAGCCGTGCTTGGTTCCGTCAATGTACACTTTCCACACCAAATCTGGGATATGAGGGTTGCTATCAAAGGGGCCCAGGAGTACTCCCCCGGAATCGACAAAGAGATCGATATTGCCGTAGAGGGTCTCATTTCAAACCTCTATATCTGCCCAAACAGAGCGAAAGTTTTGCTCTATACCCGACTCGACAACTCTGATGTTCTCCGTATCACCAAAGTTTTGATGCGGCGATCAACTAGGCACAGATGTTTTGAAGACGTCGATGTTCCAAAAAGCGTCCCGGAACCACCTAGAGGCAGAGATACATTCACGCCTGACAAGACAAGCACCGCCGGATCGGAACATGGCTTGTTTCTACAGATAACCGAAGTCCAAAATCTACTACTTGGTCAAATGGCAACTAATAAAGCCTTGATTCGTGCTCGTGCGCTGAGTCCTGAAGAGATGGTTGATAATTCTAGACTCTGGTATGAAGTGTCCATCGTCAGCCCAGCAATTGAAAAGATATTGGAGTCGAATAGGAATCTATCAGTTGGTGCGCGTACATGGAATTGGGAACCACATGATCTACTTGGGGTCGATGCTAGCATCACGACTGAACACGCAGCCGAGGCTAAACGCCGTGTTGGAGCTGACGGTTTGCCCAACATGTATCGAATTGCGTCGCGTCTCACAGCAAAAATCGATGGAGTCGGATGGGCGAACCCAGGGCCCGGTATTGAGGTTCGAGCAAGTTTGCCAGCTTCTTCAAGCGTTGCAGCGGGATCTACCTTAGCTGTTGCTGCTGTTCCTGTCGTCGAGAACAAGCCAATCACCAACATAAGCGCGAGTCAGGATGTCTTCGGCAACCTAGACAGTGTCAGTACCAGAAACGCTGAGGAAGCCGAAGAATTCTGGTAGGGTTGTGATGCTGCATATTCTCATGAAAGCGAAAAAAAACCAACTTTCAGAGACTTTTCACAGGAGATAGCCTTCAGTTTTCAAGCAGTAACTAGTTAACTGACTAGCTAGCTATGTAGTGAGAGTTGCTTCAAGATCACCAACTTGTTAACATTCAAGTTATGAAGATGAAGTATGAAGTTGTATGTACCTATTCTCACTTGGGAATTCCAGCAAATCCAATCATTTGCATCAGCACTTTTGATTTCCATAATGAGTTAACTAGCCTAGTCATCTTCCCGCAATCCATCGCCACCTTGTTTCAACCATACAACGCGTGCATCAACAGCGGCTCTGCGAACATCTCTTCTTGGGTCATCAAGGGCATATTGCAAAGCCTGGAGGACTCGCTTTTTTAATGGGAGTAAAGGGGATGGTTTGGAGGATGCGGCTGTATTGCGTCCTGTTAATTGCGGCACTTGGGGTTGGGCGAGAAGGCAAAGGGATTGAACAGCTCGTAGGCGAGCCTCTGGTCCGCTGTAACGCTGGCTACGATCAGCCTTGCCTTCACCCGTGCCTATAGCTGCAACGTTCAGCAGTCTATTCACGAGATCTTCCACGTAACCCGCCTCGTCTATCGCATGGATCCCGCTTTCGCGGATGATGACGGCAAGGGTCTCGAGTGTGCTCGTTTTGATTTGTTCGGATTGCGAAGTCGTAAGATCTAGGCTCTGAAGAAGAAGAGGAAGTAGTGTCGGCAACTCTGGCAGAATCAGAGTCGAGGGCATCGTGAACAGTATTCCGGACAGGGCGGTAAGATACGCGCTTTTCCTCTCATTGCGCTGGGATGTAACATTTTCATTGTCCAGTGGTTCTGTGTTAAGCGTGCGAACCTTTTCGGATATAAGAGGAGCGACGATAGAGAATACACGCTGTTTCGTGAGCAGGCGGATAGTGGCCCCGTTTTGAGTGGATAGGACATCATCGGCACTTAACAGCAAGCGAAATCCTTTAGCGGAGGTTTCGCGCACTAAACGGTCTGAGGAATCAAGTAGTCCTACAAGTGATGAGAGTATTTGGGAAGTTGTTGGGGGTAACCGGGATATGAGGGCTTTCGATATCCAAAATATTGTCCTAACTACCTGTGGGCTAAACTTTCTGTCATCTGGAGAGGACGGCATGAAGGAAGATAAAAGTTTTGAGGCTATCCCTAAGTCAGAAGAGGTTAAAAATTTGTTCACGAGCAGTGCCAATTGTCTGACCAAGGCTGACTGAATAGGCGGGTCTTCCTCCAAAGCAGAAAGCTGTGAAACCTCTGCAAGTAATCCTGCCATATCAGACTCTGGGTAAATTGAATCTTTGGAAAGCCCTGCCAGAAGATATGTTGACAAAATCATGGTTCGACGTCGGGATAGTGTTGATTTGCCCTGGAGCGGAATAGGCGGGAATTCTTCTTGTGTCGAGTATAAAGAGTAGACATTATTGCAAACTTCTTGGTGCCGATGCTGTGGCAGAAAGCGGATAATCTGATTGCATAACCGACCAAGCATGTCAAGCACAGTAGGATCACTCAAAGCTGCGGCTTCTGTATTGCAAACGGCTGCAAGAGCCGCCCGTCGACACAGGTTGCAGACAATTTCCTGGTAATATACCTCCAAATGGGGATCATTATCCAAGCCCCTGCGCTCCATTGCATATAAAACACTCATTAACATTGCACGAACATATGCCGGAGAGCTTAAATTCCCGGGAGTAAGGATAACGTCAAGTTTCTTCAACAGCTGGCTGACAAACGTGTAGAACACTGCTTGCTCAGTGCTTAATAGAGCAAGATCCTCTAGCACAATGATAGATTTAGATTCCATATCAGGAATGTTATCAGGAAGGTGCGCCATGAAGGCCGGAATAGTTATGCTTATAACGAGCGCGGGTTTATGTTTTGAAATTTCTGCAAGCGCGTTAACAGCTTGTCGTCGTAGTTGAGGTTCCTGAAACCGCTCATTGAGCAGTACATCGTCAAAATATTGCACGTAGAAGCCTATCTCATCATTTTGGAGAAAGCCTTGAAGAGTGGAGAGCTTTAACGCTCCTTGAAGGGCTACCGTTCGTAGCCCTACCTCATCTTTCGGGGAATTCGTCAAAGCCTGGCTGAAAATTTCGATAAGTTGGTCTTTAAATTCCAGGAGCGGATTATCCGGGATTGGAGCAGGCCCAGGAGTTAGCCAGGTGCCGAAATTGGAAATGGCAGAATCAAAGAGGCAGATAAACGTGTCAAGTAAAGCGCGTTGCTTTGAAATATCATCAGTCTTCCGATATTCCGCAAACAATGGCGGGATAACAGCTCGTGATATCATGTCAAATGCAACAGAAGAGGAAGATGAGAAAAATGCCAATATCCGTTGTGCAGGCCTCGCCCGCATTTGTTGAGGTTCACGCAATTGATCATGGCATTCCTGCAACACAGGCTTCATATAATGTGCCAAATACGGCTGTTTTTCAGTGCCAGGTGTGGGTGGGGAGAGTCGTTTTAATAGCAATTGGAGAACTCGAAGAGATTCGTCAGCGAGCACATCATCCTGTGCGTTGAGAATCTCGAATTTTAGAGAGTCCCAGATAGTGACTGAGTACCGTGCTAAAACGAAAGGCTCGTAAGATAACACACAGGCACCTAGGGCGTTTAATGCATCTTTCTATGACATGGTTAGAAGGGCTTGACACAAGAATAAGGGTCCTGTACCTTCGTGTTTACAGAATTCGAGTCAAGTTTATTTAACAAATCCGGAAATGCAAGGGGCGCAAAAGCTTGGGTAGAGGCTAGACAGTCTTGAAGGCGATCTTTTAAATCTTGGGCCGTGATTTTGTAAAGGCTATCGGGATGTGATCTGAACGTTATAGGAAAGTATTTGTATACAGAATCGAACAGTGTCTATCCAGTTTCAATTAGCGATATCCCGCTAAGAATTCTAAAAGCTTCCTACCTGGACATGGTTGGATATATCCCATTCCACCATCACGACCCTGAGAATGGAAAATACAAGCATCAGATTTCGAGGATCCTTCTCCCCATCGACAAGCTCAGTAATCCCAATTAGAGATTCATCTTCAAGGTCTAAAAGTGCTTTAATCAGTTAGCTCTTGCTGTCTCTTCCCGCAAGCCAAACCGTTCGGGTACCTCTTCGATGCCTAGACATCAACTCGTTGAGGAGCTGCAAGGTTTGAAACCGCCGAGACTGAGAGCGGCTTCGAAGATACGAGGCGTGCTGAAAAAGTCTGTTGATACGCACATTAGCAATTTAATAATCCTCCCTAGACGTTAAGAGGTTTGCAGGAAGACCAAGTTGGCGACAACATTGAATTACCCTCGAACAGTTAATTGCGCCATATGTTTATCAAAGCGATCTAGATGTTGCAATGACTCCAACCCTGCGATGGAGCCCCCATCGTCAATGCGCTCACAATAAAAAGCTGTTAAGACTTGGAGTTGTTGACGAGAGAGAAAATCGGACGGTAGAGATTTTATAACCGCCGTTAAATACGACACGGCGTTTCCCCGTATAATATCATCTTCGTTGACAATGTATTCGCCTAAGGATTGCACAACACCAATCAAGGTTGCTTCTTTTGAGACAAGTTCTGAAAGCCGAGCCGAGTCAGTAGAGGAGATACTGTGGCCATATTGGAGACATACTGTTTGCCGTTATTCCAGCTAGTCGAAGTGCTTCTTGCTTGTCATTTTGTGCGACAAATAGAAATTCTTGTAATTCCCCCATTTTATTTTGTGATTATCCGTATCTGCTTTGAAGGTGCAGTTGATAAAACCAAGCCGGAGTCCAGCCCTTTTCTGTCCCTTATCGATAAGGATGAAGTTAACTAGCTCATTAACCAGCTAACTAACTACATAGTTAACCAAATACAGAGGGGCCTTGGTTAACTAGTTAACTAGTTAACTTAGTTAGTTAAGTTGTTAGCAAGTTAGTTCGTTCCATTTTGGAATTGCGTCATACCATGGTGTCACGACCTACATCTTGAACATGTGGTCAAGGCAAAGACGCCAGTCGAGTGGATATATTGTCGAACCCTTTGTCAAAAGCACATTCCAGTCATGAAGTTGTATTTATATGTCTGCATTGCTTTTGAAATCTTTATAGCGGTATCAAGTCGGCGGATTCTCCGGACAGATCTTAATCCAAGGCAAGTAATCCCGAGAAGCTTGCAACAAATCCCAATCAATATGGGAGAGCAAGGGGGTGATCAACGACCTTTAATTCACTCGCACGAAAGACTTGCTATATCAGATATCTTGAGTAAAACGCGGGAGATCAATATATTCGCGTCGTTGACCCGCGAATTCGAATACCTCTCTGATCGATTCGAGGACAAAACGCAGAGTTTGATTGTTTTAGCACCTACAAATACTGCGATCGAAGGTCTTCCGCATAAGCCGTGGGAATCCACCAGTGACTATGTCGATTTCGGGTCAAACGAAGCCTATGCTGGAAGAAAGGGAGAAGAACGAGCGGCGAATAATCTGAGACGATTTGTTGAAGCTCATGTCATATCCAGTGACTCATGGGCGGCGGGGGACAACGCTCAAACTTTGGCAGGCCAGGAGGTACGCTGGGAGAAGGACAAGAATGGAAAGATCCGTGTATGTCTTCGCACAGCTAATTGTTTAAACGGTTCTCTTTTGCTAAGGCACCAAAACACTTTATTGATGCTTTGTATTCTAGGTCTATCCAGGAAACATTGAAGTCGAGAGAATAGCTGCCCGCATTTCCAACGGCGAAGTTTGGATTTTAAATGGAATAATCGAATTTGTTTAGGTGTTATGGTGTTTTGCAGCATAGAGAGCTTGGACCTTCTATAGCATATTACCCAGTATCTACGCAGAGCACTAGTGGTATTTGGAAAGAGGATTTTACCCCAAGCCGGAATCTTCTGTAATCAAATGTATTCAGCTTTATCGCATATATGCACATAAAATCGTGGAGAAACCACCATGAAAGGAGTTCTGCCTGGGTCCGATCGCACCTAAGGTGATGATAACCTTTGGAGCAATCGTTCTTCAATCCCATCAAAAATACAATAATACTCCATGACCTCCAAGTTTTCTGCCTCGGCTAAAAACATTTTATCTGGGTCTTGACCAGGACCGAATGGGTTGACGGTGGCAGTAGGATTCATCGGCCCCATTTGCTGTAGGATTTGTCCGGCAGCTAATGATTGTAAGCATATATTTCATATCATCTTTTACAACGATTTGCGCCTCTCAATAAATGTCAAAAGAGTTTCACTCACAATTGTCACTTCCAAGAATGAAACCGAACACAGGCTGCAGCCCAAATAAATTCAAAAAGTACCAGGAAAGGCTTGACACCCATCTCACGTCTAGATCTCGGGTCATGACACCGGACTGGAGCATTGATTTGAACCGAATTGTCAATGGAAACGGTAGTTTCACTATGCCCAGGTATAAATTAAAATTCGTTGTTAGGAGAAGTCAAGGGAAGAGGGGCTATACATATGACAAACCCAGAAAAAAAAGCATTAATCCACCCCATTATAAGGGTCTGTGGGATCATCATCGCCATATTCCCTTTCATCATCGCCATCATAGCGTCCATGCCAGCTGGATCCGTCATCGGGTTTGGTGCCCCCTGCCCTCTTGCATTAGGGTCCTTAAGAAACGCGCCGCTGTGGTAGGCGGAGGTTAGATATGATTTGCGACTCGCAAGTGAACGAGGTGTAAGGACGGCGGAGGCATTAGTACGAAGGTTCATTCCACGGAGTAGCGCGAGGCGCTCACGGTATTCTGCAAGACTCGTCGCAGGTTTGGGCAGAGTGGTCATCAGAACTGTTGCATAATGGCGGAGGATACCAGTTAAAACCTATGGCGCAGGCAATCAAATAGATGCCAAATAAGTTAGAACAACTACTATGAAAATCGAGGATTCTCCAGTTCACATACCATAACAACAGTGATAGGAATCAGGATCCAGTAACTAAGGAGAGCATCAGCGATTTGCACATAAGAGTAGAAACACCTCAATTGATTACAATAATGCTGGATCCCGGAGGATCATCTGTTCTGCATTGTGAGATGCCATCACCGGGAAATACCTAAGTACCCAGGTCAAAAATGCGGCAAATGTCAAGCATTGGCGAGGAGCGTGATGAAATCACACTGCTTGAAAGGTGCGCAGCAATAGTTTGGATGGAGGCTTCACGCTTACCCTGTACGACTAGTATATGCACTGTATGTATATGTATGGATGTATGTATGTATGACGAAGGTATTGTATGTATGGAGTACTGTACAGCTATCACGCCTAAACAGGCTAGAAGGCCTCTTTGTAATACTGAAAGATTTCAACTGACGTTTAAGTTACATGCCAGTAATTAATTATGTCAGCAGCAACCGATTCTGTAAAGGCCAGCTCTCAAACTGACGAGTCCCATTACTCTGTACTAGTAAACTACATGTCCGCCCTTACTTCCGCTAAACAATGCTGTTAAGAAATATGAAAATATTCTAATCCTTGAAGTTGCCGATTCCCTAATATTTCCAATACAAATGGCCAAAATCCCCGTCTACTCCCTCAATGGTAGGCTGCCACCTTCCCCGGGTTTAGCTATAGCCTATCCTCTTACTCTAAGCATCATAGACCTTAAAAGCACCACAGATGATGCTGTCACCCCGTACCTAACTTCTCTCCCGAAGCCATGCAATTTCGTCGCAATCAATACCAAATCCAACGTACGATTGATTTTGGGTTATGCCGCCGTGAGCATAGCTGCCGTGTCCTTTTATGTTGATTATACAAAAGGCTGGGAGGCCACAAAACCGTGGATCCTTCCTGCTGTGATTGCCTATTTCGCGCTAAACCTTGGGTTGACGATTTGGATTTGGGGCGTTGAAGCCGGCCAGGTATTTGAAGGAATGAATAATGAAGGCATGAAGGTATTCATCTTCTCCAGCTCTTGTTTCAAACAAATTTCATCCCACTAATGTTAATTGCCCATATAGTTATGGCTTTGTTCTTCAACCAAAAAGCAATCTGCCTTGTATAAACTTCGCATCCTTCGCGTTTCATCTTCAGGCAAAGTTGTAAAAGAGAAGACAGCTGTAGCACCATTTACGCGCTGGTTCTCTGCAGATGGGGTATTTCATTGTGGAGCATTTAGACAGTGGCTTGCAAGTGAGATTGGTATCCCTGCGCCAACTACTAGCGAGCAGTGAGTAGAATAGCAAGCGCTTAGATGAAAAGCAAAGTAGTTGAAGCATTAGCCTCATTATTCTTGTTTTCATTGATCATATCCCATATAATGCCACATGTTTACGCAGAAACACATAACTCTTCGGTTGGCATTAAAACTTTTGATGCCGTACGTAACCTAACAATCAGAATTAACGTGTTGTTCCTCTCAGTAACTAATTCCACATGACAACGTCAATGTTGGACGAGGTGGCTTTGGGGAGAGACTAAGAGCTCGGGTCAAATCCACCTTCGAATTAATAAACCAGTCATCAAATCAAAAAGGAAATGTAATTCATGAGGCAAATTACGACAATGCGATAAAATTCAGGCATGCAACTTACTTCATCCTGACGGAGTGTTAACCCCCTCTAGGGTCCCTGGTTTTTCAATTGCAGCAGCTGGATGTATATCATCAACCCTACGGTTTTGGGCAAGACGCTATAGAGACGTATTAGAACCTTAAAAACTGCAAGAGAAGCGGTGGCGGATACCAAAAGGTTGCGAAGTAGGACAACATTTGTCACTTTCCCAATTGCAGGTACGTAAATAGATGCTTTCTCCTTTACGTCTGGGCCAAAATTCTATAAAGCATGATAAACATATTAGCTGTAGTTTGGATACCTAACATACATATCAACACAACAGGGCTTGTTCGTACCTTTTGGCTGGAAAAATTGATACAAACTGCTCCCGGCCTCAGTAAGCTGGTATCAAATTTGAAAGAATCCCCCGGCACTCCAGTAACAACGACATCACAGTGTGGGACGGCATCTTTCAACGTCCACCCCTCCATCTCGACAACTTCATGTCTTCGCTTTTTGAGGCCCTCCCCTCGGGTAAATTGTTGGATACCAGTGATATCCACACTATAGACACAGGCGCCGTCGTTCGCTAACAAAGCCGCGAGCGGCCGACCGACGACTTCCGATCGATTCACGACGCAAATAGTATGCCCAAATAGCCTATTTCCGTACGGTAGGATTGTGTTGTAAATTTGTAAATATTCAAGAATTTTAATCACGGCGAGTGGCGTACAAGGAAGGATAGATTTCTGGCGCTGGGGACCCGGGTGAGGATCTAAAAATCTTATATTCTGATACATATTAAAGATGTATCTATGGCTGAGTCCTTCAACGTCTTTCGAGATGTCTACAAGCTGTTGCACGTATTGGTCTTGTCTGTTGTTGAAAATAGGATAGTAGACGATGATTCCGTCGACGTCCGGGTCTGCATTGGCGGCGAGGATGGCATCCTCGATATCATCACGGTGTACTTCACGTAGAGAGTAGCGGAAGCCACTACGAGAATCAGTTTGCGAAGTGCTCACTTGATGCTGGTCGCGAAACGTTGGAAGACGGGTAAAATCACAGTGGTGCAATGGCTCACTTTTCCTGACAGGTCTTCTCTGTCCAATTTGCATACATTCTTGCAGCCGGGTCAGAATTTGCTAGAAAACCGACGAGGTGGGGTGGGCTTTCGAGAGCTGCGCGTCCCTCTGTAACTTCTTGAAGCAACCCTTTCGCAACATTGCCGGACAATACCACTTTGCAGGAAGAAGGGATTGACTCCGAATTTGTCGCCATGGTGCATGTCGGTAGTTGTCAGTGACCTTAACGTCTCGAAACAATGTTGGGTGCAATTATACCTCCTCTAGGCCTCGGATTCTTTCTTCTTCTTCACCTTCTAGGAGGGTTAAAAATTAGTTGTGCAGGGAAGGTTTTCAGAAACAACTAACTAGCGGAATGATAAAATGAAGAAGTGAATTGGACATGTGACCAGTGCAACCAGTCAACCAATAATTCAACTTGTGAATTCATCAGGGATAGAGGTGCCTGAATGATTTGCCAACTCATACTCTGTACATAAAAAGTACTGGCTGATAGTAAAGAATGTAATATTTTGGAGTGGAAGGTGTAGCCCAGTCTTTATATGGCCTCAAGTTTCTATATGCTATTCCACCAAATGAAGCTCAAAGGCTCTACATTAATTATCACAACTACAATGTGTGGATGTATGTACTGTACAAACATACAGACCAAAGCAAGACAGGAAAATTTGACATGATGACTAAAACAACACCATTGTTTGAAGATTGTACATGTTCTGCTTCTATACACTCATGAAACTCAGCTAGCATCACTTTTTACGAGAAGCTCTTGTTGAATGCGACAATGACATCCTTGAGCTGGGCCTCCAAATCCTTGCTGAGCTGTCCCTCTTTTTCAATCTTCTCCAGAACCTCGGCCTCGTTTGCTTTCAGGTGGGCCAGGAAATCAGCTTCCCACTGAAGAATCTTCTTGACAGGAATAGAGTCAAGAAGACCGTTAACACCAGCATAGATCAGTGGGACCATTTCGTTAACAGCCATTGGAGAATACTGCTTCTGCTTGAGGAGTTCGGTCAACCGCTCACCACGGTTGAGGGTTTGCTTGGTCGAGGCATCCAAATCCGAACCGAATTGGGCGAAAGCGGCAACTTCACGATACTGAGCCAAGAAAAGCTTCAAGGAGCCTGCTACTTGTTTCATGGCTTTGAGTTGAGCGGAGGAACCGACACGAGAAACCGACAATCCGACGTTGATAGCTGGGCGGATACCCTTGTAAAACAATTCAGATTCCAAGAAGATTTGACCGTCGGTGATAGAGATGACATTGGTTGGAATGTAAGCAGACACGTCACCGCCTTGGGTTTCAATGATAGGCAGGGCAGTGAGGGATCCACCGCCGTGTTTGTCATTGAGCTTCGCTGCACGCTCCAACAATCGCGAATGGAGATAGAACACGCTGAGTCGAGTTAGTAGAGCCGTAAACCGATTTATATGATCAAATTACTTACTCGCCAGGGTAAGCTTCACGGCCTGGGGGACGACGGAGCAGAAGCGACATTTGACGATATGCGACGGCTTGTTTTGATAGGTCGTCATAGATGATCAAAGCGTGTCTTCCGTTGTCGCGGAACCATTCACCCATAGCGCAGCCGGTGAAGGGGGCGATATACTGAAGTGGGGCAGCCTCGGAAGCGGTCGCGGCAACGATAACGCAGTACTTCATAGCATCATTTTCCTCAAGTGTTTTGACAAGCTGAGCAACGGTTGAACGCTTCTGACCGACAGCAACGTAGACGCAGTATAGCTTCTTGGCTTCTTCAGCACTGTTGTTCCATCGCTTTTGATTCAACATGGCATCCAAGGCAACAGCGGTCTTTCCAGTTTGGCGGTCACCAATAATCAATTCACGCTGGCCGCGACCAATGGGAACCATAGAGTCAACGCTCTTAAGACCAGTTTGAACGGGCTGGTTGACGGATTTGCGAGGCAAAATACCGGGCGCCTTGAGCTGAGCACGGCGTTTTTCAGACGCTTTGATTGGGCCCTTCCCATCAATTGGGTTGCCCAGAGCGTCGACAACACGGCCCAACAATTCAGGACCGACAGGAACATCGACCTAATGAGTTGTTAGAGGATTAAACTACTTACGAGAATAACGGGCGCTTACAATCTCGCCGGTTCGCTTAACGGTTTCGCCTTCCTTGACAAGACGATCAGAGCCGAAAAGCACGACACCGACTTGGCCGGCCTCCAAGTTCATGCACATCCCTTTAACGCCGGAAGCAAACCTAAAAACCGTGTAAACAATTTGGCTCGCTGCCTACACGACACATCTCACAACTTACTCCACAAGTTCCTCGGCTTGGACATTGGTCATCCCATGAACACGCGCGATACCATCACTGTTTATTCAATAATTAATGAAATCCCGCGCCAAATTCCGATCACTTCATTCTTTGAATAAGAAGCGACAGTAAAGAGCAATCTCGAAAGGGAAAGGGATTTCCATACCCAACAGAAAGGACTCTACCGGTCTCGGCAAGGCCGGCTTCCTCCTGGACTCCGCGGATCCTTTGCTCAAGGATAGAGGAAACCTCAGTAGGGGCAGCTTTGGCCTCAGCAGCATATGATCGGACATGCTTTGAGACAGATGCCAGAGGGGTGTTGGCTCGGACCTGTGACATTCGAAATTTGTTAGTACTCGAAACGAACGAACGCGTTCTGGGTTCAGACAAAAAGATTCAATGGCTTCGCAATGGGTCCGAAACAATCGATAGCGCCATTTCAGATGGATTGATAGCAATTGAAGGTTGTTTGATGATGCGATTTGTGCATTGGGAGGAGAAATTCTTACCGCTGCGACCCTGCTTGTGGCAGAAACGGCCGTCACCGCGCGGCTAGACTGCCGTATGGCGTTTCTAAACATTGTGTAAAATATCAAATGTGAGAAGTGATGGAAATCGGGTTAGGGAGAGGAAGATTGGGCCCGGAATGGCTGGAGGAAAAGATTGTGGATGAGCAAAGACAAAGGTGTGTCGTCTGGGAGGAGCAACTGAAAATAAGCTAGTGGAAAATGTCGTTGCCGAAACACCTTCTAGCGTATTTCGTGTACTTCGTACTCCTGGTAATATTACGAGATTTATACCGTAAATGGCACAGTCGTGCCCAATATTGTATGTATGTTTGTACAGTACATAGATACATACATACATACATACATCCAGCTGAAATGAATAATACCCGATACCTGCTGAAAAAGCCATAATTACATAGGTCTTCTTGGTGAGATGCAAACAAACGGTTGCTTGTGTCTTCCACACGATGAACAGGGTTCGATCGTAAATCAGGCTTCTAAGTAAGTGAGATATTAACTTTATATCTACCCCATTTCACTACAGAGGAGGTCGATTCAGACACATTATGTTGAAAACGAATCATTTTGGGTAAGAGTTCCGCAAGCCAGAGTTGACCCATGATAAATCAATGTACTGTGCATATAGACACACTAGGAAAAGTATGTGTTAAATATCAAAAGGTTATTAGTTTTGAAATTAATAAATACGTAAAGAGACCTTTTCTTCCTTCATTGACAACGCTACCAAACCGTGAAACCCGCAGGCTCAATGCATATAGACTGCGAAAGACGTCAAAGATTACGACAAGTAGCTATGTTTGCGCTTCCTTGTTGATGCTTCCTTTGGCTGCGTTGAATTTAGCCACATCCGACTGGACTGCTTTATCAATACGGGCCTTCAACTGTGGGCGATACCCAAGGAAGAAAAGAACCTCGAGCCAGACGAAAAACGGGGCAAGGAAGAACGCCTGAACAAGATTATCGAGTAATGCCGGAGCGCGGCCCTCAAAGATTCCGTGCCCAACGAATTGAGCAATCCATGCTACAGCCTGGATTCCCAGTGACCAATACACTGCTGTATTTCCGTAGGTGCTGCTCAGGTGGTTCACAAAAGCAGTGCCTGCTAGCAGTAATGGCGCGAGAAGGGCACCAGCCACCGGCTCCATCAGGATATATAAAGTGGCATATACAATGCCAGCAATGGTAGCAAGATTAGGAGGGAGATTCTCAATAGTGGCGACGTTGGGAATGGAAATCAAAGGTTTCGTGAGAGTTCCCTAGTTCAACCGTAGATATTAGAATGAGAGCTAAAAGATGTCAGGAGCAAGCCAAACATACCAGAAGTAGCATACATAGCATGATAATCGGGACACAAAGGATGTGAATCACAATATTTACCTTGTGATTCAATAAGATAGTGCGCTTATATTTGAGTCTGGAACCACACCTACTGGATTATGGTGGTAAGATCCATACTTATTAGAAAATATCAGCTTGCGAATCGATTGGCAACATTATTTCATGAGTCTTGGAGACACTTACAAAACGAAACTGCTTCTCAAGATCTAGCATCATGGTGGACAAAATCTGCTTCTTGCCTTAACACTAGAAGTCTAGAACAATGCCACAAAAAATGGAGATCTGCTGATACCAAAAGTTGAAGATTCTGAAGTTTCAGAAGCAAGGAGGGATGGGCTCTCAAATGATTGCCAGTTGAAGAATCAGAGCAGTCAGATCCCATGTCCATAATCATGTGAATGCCTTGAACTGGATGTATAACTAGTTGGATGCTGATTGTTACAAACAAGAGGGTAATGACTAATACATTCTGTTACTAGTGCTTGGGCCGAGATAGTTCCTTGAGGGTTCTGTAACTACTGTCTCAAACTGGCTCATAGCAAGCAAGTTATATAATCATCTGTGTTCACGGACCACGGGCGAGCGTCAAATCACGTGACGCCCCTACTATTCGCCGTGCTATTCCGTATTCTTATGGAGTACCAAAAAAGTATTCGACCTCTTTCCCAATGGCATCACTCCTGAAAGCACTTTCAACAGTTTGCTAAGCAGGATCGATCTTTCTAGCATTGAGGGTTGACAAAGAGACTTGGGAAGGCCAACACTTTAATTAATTTGCCTTCCAAAGCCACCTTCATTCCTTGCCAACTGCTCTAACGAAATTGTCATTTCTGGCTATTATGTTCTTTATACACTTTTTGGAACATGTTCTGACCCTCCACCCGTCTTTTTTTGGCTCGCATGTTAAAGAATATTTAACCCAGAAGCTTCTTGATGATGTGGAGGGGATTTGCACTGGAGATTACTACATTGTGTGTGTGATGGATACATATGATATATCCGAAGGACGAATCATTCCTGGTAGCGGGATGGCTGAATACACTATAATGTATCGAGCAATCGTGTGGAAACCATTCAAAGGAGAGACGGTTTGTGTTCTACTTCTAAGCCTATCTAGGCTTGCTCTTTTTTCCCCCTCGTTCCTTTTGCGCCTGCTGACTTGAGTGCGAATCGTAGGTAGATGCCATAGTTACATCTGTCAAAAATCAAGGTATCTTTGCGGAAGTTGGCCCTCTCACCGTTTTTGTATCCAAACACGTATGTATATTTCATCATGGACTCAAATCAATGCTATACTAACAAGTTGAAGTTAATTCCCCCGGAAATCAAATGGGATCCAGATGCAACACCTCCGCAGTATACCGATAATGCAGACCAGGTTATCGAGAAAGGTACCAACTTGAGGATTAAATTGATTGGGCTTCGAAATGACGTACGAAACATGTTTGCTATTGGGAGCATTAAAGAAGATTACCTGGGGTTTGTCACTTGTTCATTTGCTAATTTCTGTTCATGCTAATAATCCATTCACTTGATAGAACACTATAAGAGGATTGCTAGTTGTTGTTTGGTGGGAAACAGCATCACGCAGTTCCTCGCCGCTATTTTCCGAATCAAAGCCGCGAAGTCGGCACCAACCAGGCTCATGGTACTACTCATCCCTACTAACAATGCACCTCGGATCATTAGGAGTGAAACTGAGGACGCAAGCAAGGATGCAAGATGCGAATCAGTGGAAGGAGGCACCGTCATTTGGTTGATGGAAGGACAGTGTCAGTGTCACGGATGAATGATCAGCAACATGCATTCTTGAGGCGAAAGATCAGAGCTGGCAAATGTCATTTAGGGTCACCTAGAAGTGGTGCAGCAATTTTCATATTGCCCAGTGGTCCAAAAACACAGCTTTGGAGGGTTTTATTTTCTCCCTGCAATGTTCCCAGCAATGAATTGAGCCAAGTTGTCATTTAACTAACAGAGCCATTGCTGTAGCTCGAACTTAACAAAGTTATGTTTCCATTGAATGATGTGTCCTTTACACAATGATGGAAATGATGCGCACACATGTGGTGCTTGAGTTACAAACTTCCTGCATCTTCCAGGGAATGCCAGCAACGCCTGATCCGAAAGAGACTACCAAGGTTAGTTGTTTAATTATAGTTAACAGATGTCCGACCTATAGGTTCCCTACCTACTAGGAACTCGCAATATTTTATTACTTTAAGGGCCAGAAATTTCAACCGTGCTGGACAAATATGAGGCTTTGGGGTTGAATAACCCCTCCTTGAGGATACCCACGAATCAGTCGGGAGTTGCCTTAGTTATTGCCTACTGGCGGTGATCTAATGTATTGCTGGTGGCTCCCAACTATGTGCAATGGCCAGGGCCCACGAACCGAATCCAGATGGCTGCACAGCGATATTAATCATTTTCAATGCCTCCAAGACGAGTGATGCCGGTCAAATACACACGTCCATATCCCGTCTCCAGGACTAGACCCATACATCTCAACAGGCTTCGCCTCCACACCACAGTGATCAGTCTATCATAACATCCATCCAAGGCCAACATGGAGCTACTACCCTGATGGACAAGACGTGCGGTCAATGCATTCACACTGAGCACCCCTCTCCCTAGTAGCCTCCTCGCCTTTCACCGCCCATGTGCTCCAGGCCGGATTTGGGCTGATGGCCTAATGGTCTCTGATTCGGTGGTTTTCGTTCTGGTACACAGCCAGAACAATTGCCTACTTGCGCCTATTACGCAACAAATTCATCTTATTACCCGTCTCCTATCAAGGGATCTATGCCTGTTCTGGTTTATGATCCAAACTAATGTATGCTGATTAGAAACATGGAAAGCTTGCGATTTCAGCGTCTTCCAGCACATAGCCAGGGTCAGAGGTATACTCTCCGATCCTAGTGGTCCTACCTATGAATCTCCTGCTGACCATGGCCAAAGTGCCTAGGTCTTCTCCTGCCCGCTCCCTGCCTTCGAGCAAAGTAGCTCTGGACGAGGCCTTCCGTCAATCATGTCTTGCAACTAGGCCACAAAATGTCATCCCCTCTAACGGACCGGAAGTATTCACTGTTTGCCAATATCCTAGCGCGTCGATTGTTAACGCTATCAAAAATATACAAGGCCCTACATGTGCCATTGAGCAAACAAATGATTGGCAGTCCCAAGTTCTGACCTAATTAGCCTTCTTTTCTGAGCAAAATACATGTTAGCCAAGTGGATTGGCAAATTCGCGGTTTTACGACATTGTCAGAGCTTCATTATGAACCGACTAGACGTCAGAGACGGATCCCCATGGCCATTCTATTCACGTCTACTGGCCCATCAGGCATAAGTGAATCGCTCTTGAGGAGGCTACTTTGTATCTTTATGGTAAGCTTTTTGGATGGGTATTCTACGTTTGGCACACAGATGGTGGAACAGATGAGCCTGATGGTTGTTGAGGCGCATCGAGATTTTCATTGGATGGCCACTAGAAGCCAAGGGTCAATGTCCACCGCCTCCGAGTTCACGCAGTAACCCTGTATCTTCATTCTCTCCGAGTCGGTAAGCGCTTTGCTTTCCGCAGCGGGCGTGGCGAAAATGCAGGCGAAAGGCCCTATGAACTGGCTGCATGTCAAGTTGAATATGGCCGGCCTCTTTAAGAGGTACTAGCAATAGCGGCGAACGTTGCACAACCGACCAAAGCATGCACTAGGAGAGAGACTAGGTAATACGCGAAAGTCTAGAAAGCAAGGCAGTTTGTTTGGGGAATTGCACCACTTTTAGAGATGAGAGGACAAATGGTAGTAACATTACAAGCATCTTGGCTGAGGAGAGAAGATGCTTAGTTAACTAACTAACTAGTTAGGTTAGTTAGTTATTTAACTAACATCAAACGCCGACAATGAACTACATAGCATCAATATTTCATCTTCATGTCTAGATTTTGACAGCGTGCGCTGAGCACTTGCTCATTGAGAAGAAGAAACCTTTCCGTTTATTCAGATGATGGCCAATATTAGGTAGTTATTGGTTACATTTACTTGATAGCAAACATTCACCAGGCTGCCAGACCGTCAAGTCCTCTCTGCTAGTTAGGTTAACAAATATTAACCAGGAACAAGGTTGCATCCGAGTTCCTTTTCCCTGGAACTTCTGTTGGCTACAGAGTAGGAGTGGTTAAACCAACTATTACTCCAAACAAATACGGAGTAGAGATTTTAGAAACAAACCACCTAGTTAACTAGTTAACTACCTTAACTAACTAGTTAGTTAACTTAACTAGATAACCAGTTAGGTTAATAGTTAAGTTAATATGGAGCACTACTCCTTACAGTCTACCCCATAGCTGGAACATCCATCTTCTTTCTTTGCTCCTTATAATAACTATCCCCCAATTACTGCTTGATTATTGATTGTCAATCTGCCCTGTACTTACTCTAGAGTTATCATACAATCAAGATACCCATCCTCAGATTGCTTCTCACTCTTCAGTAACTAACTCTTCCTGGTCAGGGCCATACTAACCTGCGCATCATGTCACTTAAGGATTTGTACAAAGCATTTCTTGCAGACCCAACGGAAGATCTGCTTTCTCCTAATGCATCACTGCATTACATTACTACAACAACCACACTCAATGGTGCAGTAGAGATCACACAGCATTTGTTTAAGCAACGCAGTGATATCAAGAAAAACGCTGAGGATATATTGAACGCTGTCGAAGGAACCAACTCCCTGTGTGTGGAAATTGAAACGACCTTGAGGTTTTCAACTAGCGGAGGAGCTTATCTGCCGGGATTGGAGGAAAACCTTTTGGTAGATCGCGTAGTGACATTTCCGCTGGTAAGTCTGCTATGCTCAGTATAAAAAGCAGCCCTCCCCCACAATACTATCAGCTATTGTCTAATACCCAGATCCCAGATCCACATCGTTAATTTGGACCCCAACAGGAAAATTTCTCAAATTCGAGTATACTGGGATCAAGGTTCGCTCCTGAAGCAGGTTGGCGTCATTGGTTCCTACCAGGGGAACTGGCCATTATGTGATGGTCCTGATCAAGCGCGTGTGGTCAGTTCTTCGATTGCTGTAGCACCGAAATCTGAAAAAGATTTCAAGCAAGACGGAATTAATTCGCAGACGCCGCTGTCGCTGCTTGGGCTACAGGATGACCAACTCAGGCCACAATCAGGCGCATCTGGTGTTGCACTACCTGCCACGATACCGGCGAAGGTGCACAGAGGAATGGCGAATGATTCTACAAAGAGGGAAAATCCAGTTTCGACACACAATCAAACCTCAGGGATACTTGAACATTTCGAATTTGCAGAAGAACCTCCTAGGCTCACTAGACCCGTCAAAGAGCGTACCCATTTTGAATTCGGAGAAGAGCCTCCTCGGCGCACAGGACCTGTCAAAGAACTTTCGCATTTTGAATTCGGAGAAATACCCCCATCTGGGATGGAACCAAATAATACTGTTCACCCACGGTCTAATAAACATATATCACAATGGGACTTTGAAGATTTTTCGACCCCAGAAAAGCCCCGCTCGAAAATTCGAGGACAGGATGTCCGCCATTTTGCATGGGGTGATGAAAAATCCGCGTCACCGGAAACTCCAGTGCAAAAATCTCGTACCATATTTCCGAGACGTGACACAGAAACACACATTGAATTTGAGGCTGATGCACCGAATCCAAGAGAAAATTGTCGGCTTACCGAAAGCATGGGAGTATTACGCAAAGGACTCGGATTATACGAAAACAACCTGTATGATGAAACTGAGCAAGTAGGAGAGGAAAAGGGAACCAAGTTAGCGCATTCAGCCACCAATAACACAAACCGCAACAAGAATTTCGGCAGCCAGTGGGCAATTTCCGAGGAACCGCAACCTAATACAGGGGAAAATGCTAATGAACCGAAACATATTGCCGCTGGTCGAATGAAGGCAGTAAAGATGATGGATGCGAGTTGGGATAAGTATGATGAAACTACAAATTCTCTGGATAATACTGCTCCGTTTGCTCGCCCAAAACGAATCAATCGGAATGCGAATCAGCCCAGCTGGAGTTTGGGTGATGAAAATCCTTGAGAGAAGACTCGCTTGCCCTCCTCGTACTCTGCTGTTAACCTAACAGCAATATCTCCTTGCTTTCCCGAGTGAGTTCTTCCACTTTTTGCTTTCCTCTGTCGCTCTTGATTGAATGAAATATGTAACTACGTAATCACGGAACCCCAACTAACTAACTTAACGTTAGTTGAGTTATTGCACATGGATGAAGATGACTGGTATGTATGTATGTATGTATGTATGTATGTATGTATGTATGTATGTATGTATGTACGGAGTACAGAGTAGTTATTTGACACCATGTCTTTAGACATGTGTATATAGTTTTTGTTAAGTATGGTAGTTAATATGCTTCATTTTATGCAACTTCCACTATGCCCTTCAATGTACTCTATACAGAGTAATAGTATGGTTTCTGGGTTTATCAATCTATGTATTCATCAGCAGTATGTAGTTAACTATGTTACAGTCAGTTACATGATTGTTGGCATCCATACAGAATGGCCAGCAGCTAGTTGGTTAACTAGTTTTGATTGTATTGGCTAGTTACTCTGCAAGTACAATTTTCACTTCAGTTGAGGAAGTTCAGGTTGGGGTTAAAGCCATGGATCTCAGGAAGAACATGATATTTAGAAGAAACCAGTTCGCCCTTTACTTTATTCCAAGTTAGCCAAAGTAGGTATAAGGTTGTTCTTGCTCCATCGTCTTAACCATTCTTTTCTGATACACTCATGATTGTTAACTATTCAATGGCAAGTTAGATCTACCCTGGTAGTGTTGGATCATTCTCCCGGCTTGTTCATCAACTTTCATCTCAAACATATCGATCTCTCGCCGCAAATGCCATAACAAAGCGCGTTTCAAGATGGCACCCACTCCACCCTCCACCACCTCATCGAACGCCAGTACGCAATCCCCGGATGGACAATATCGAGTAGTTCGAAGGCGGAACCGAATCCCATTGTCCTGTGGCCCCTGTAGAAGTCGGAAGTTAGTCTACTATCCCTCTTCGTCTAGGTGCAAGAAATTCGAGTTAATCTTCTCTGTGACTAGACTCAAATGCAACCGCGTGGTCCCTTGCGAAAATTGTGTGAAGAGGGGGGATGCGGTTTCTTGCACTTATGCGCAGCCCAGCGCGCGGAAGAGAAACCAAACCAGCCAGCAACAGCCCCCAACGCCAGATGATATGCAAAACCGGATTGACCGACTGGAAAATTTGGTTTTGTCGCTGATGACTCACGAGTCCCAATCAGCGGGGGCTACACCTTCGAAAAAGCTCCCGTCGAGGAATGCTACGACATATACGCAGTGGAATACGCGCTCTTCTCCACTGAAAGACGCCGGCCATGGAAATAGTAGAGAGGAAGAAAGCGATACCGAACAGGTCACCAAGTCGTTCGGAATAATGAAAGTTGACGCCCAGAATCAGAAGTCTTACTATGTTAGTGAGGCGCATTGGACCTCCATTCTTACCGACGTAAGAACATCCGAACCTGTAGAAGCGCTCCCTAGGCTTTCCAAACTGACTAGTCTCAGATAGCAGAAGTCAAGAATTTTTGGGCGACGCATAAAAAACAAATCGAAGAACAAATGGAGAGGGTCCAAGCCGCGAACGGGGACCAGGACTTATCAAGCTCAGCTCTTATCTTTGGCGCTATGAAACCCCCTAATAGAGCTGAAATAATGGCTTCCTTCCCGTCAAAATACACCACCGACATTCTAATAGCCCGTTACTTTAACACATTTGATCCATCAATACGTGCGCTACCCCTAAAACCAAATTTCGCAGCTCCATATACTGACTGCTCCAGACCTCATCCACGCACCGTCTTTCCAGAAAGAGGTAAAACACTTATTGGGGAGACTTTATCGGAGGAAACCCGCTAACGTTTACTATAGTACGAAAGACATTGGCAAGATCCTTCGATAACTAGCATTGTTTGGATAGGGATGACCTTCGCCATGATGCGCTTAGCAATGTTATCCTACCATCGAGATGAAGATGAGCCCCCTGAATTCCGAGGCAAATCCCTTGATGTTGCCAAATCATATCGTTCCTCGATGGCTCAATGCCTTGTCCTCGCGGACTACACGAAACCGCATCGTTATGTTCTCGAAACGCTAATCCTTCATCTCCAAGGCGAATATTCACAGACAAGTGATGCACAAATATCACTTTGGGTTTTGGTTGGTATAATTGTTCGGTTGGCGATGCGAATGGGCTACCATCGAGATTCAAGCATGTTTTCAAACATCTCCCCATTTCAAGGGGAAATGCGTCGACGGCTCTGGAGCTTTATTCGGTGTTCGGATCTATTGTTTTCTTTCCAGGTAGGGCTGCCGAGTATGGTCCGCTCGGGTGATTGCGACACAGATAGTCCGAGAAGTTTATATGACGATGACTTCAACGAAGATAGCACAGAACTACCCTCCGAGAGACCTCTTAACGAACCAACACCGGTGTCATACTTGGTTGCTAAAACCCGGCTTGCGTTTGTTTTCGGACGCGTGCTAGAACATTGTCAAAAAGTCAAAGGCTCGACGTACGAAGAAGTTATGGAAATAGATACTGCCTTGCGTCAGGCGAGTGAGTTGGTTCCGGAGCATCTACGTGTTCGACCAATTTCCGAATGCGACTTGGATCCCGCTTACTTGATTATGAGCAGATTCGGTGTACGTGGGCCCTTGTGTTTCCTGGAGGTCCTTAATATTAAATGCTATGTCTTAGATCATGGGCATTTACCACAAGGCTCAATGTGTCCTTCACCGGCCCTTCCTTCACCGCGCACGTGAAAACCCCCGTTATCTGTATTCTCGCCGGACATGTATCGACAGCTCTATGGAGCTCCTCAAATTCCAGTTTATGCTTCACAATGCATCACGACCTAATGGCAGGTTACGGCATAGGACATGGTACTCCAGTTCATTTAGTACTCAAGACTTCCTGATGGCTAGCACAATCATTGCTTTGGACTTGTACCATAATCATCAATCACGCAGTTCTAGGCCTATGTACAATGGAGCCTATAGCTGGGATGTACGCCGACAAGAGGAGATGCTTGCAGCCCTTCAACGATCCAGAGATATATGGGTCGAACTAAAGGATAAGTCGATCGATGCTTGGAAAGCTGCCGCGATTCTAGGTTTGTTACTTGAAAAACTTAACCAGACGCCCCAAAACCGAGAAAGGCCAGATTTAGAACAAGTGCTTGATGCACAAGATGAGAAGCAAAGTGCAGCGATGACTCTAGGGCTCTTGAGCAGCGGGGTAACTCCTCCGAGCCTACCAACTCCGGCGCAAGGTTCGGATATTATGGCTAAATTTGATCCGAATATCCAGCAGCAACAGCTCCACAACAACACAGAGGCCGTTGACCAAAGCTCCCTCGCCACGAGCCCGTTCGGCATGTTTGGGCAGATGCCGGACATGCAGCCGTTCAATCTAGACTGGGTACGCTGGGCCTCTCATAGATTCTTTAGCTCGTGTACTCGGATCGTAACTTACTATTATGGTTCGGGGGCTTGAATTGTTACTGATTTTGAATATAGGACGCCTGGGATGCATACATTCAATCAGCGGCGCTTGACCCTGTCACTCAAGCCTGGGCAGGTATAGAGCCCCAGCAAGTACAGCCGTCGTTCTCGATGACATCCCAACGGATGGAACCCGGTCTAAATTCGATACCGAGAAGGGCTTACTCTCATACGTTGGGGATGCCGGAGCATGTAGAGAGCGGAAACTCGGATGGTGGTATATTCATGAGCCCGAAGACCGATGCGCGTCGATACGGTCACGGACAAAGTTAACCCACATACCAAAGCACTCTTGGTACAGCCAGCTCCCCATGAGCATTCTAGCATACTGAAGGATTATGTATGCCTAAGTCGTGAAGCAATTGGAGTTTACTTGCCCAAGATACCAGCAACTTGATGGGCCTAAGTGGCCTTCATTGAGGCCCAAGAATGATGGTACTACTAGGAGTTGATACATCAGCGGGTCGACGGGCAAGGTCACCGTACTAGCTGAATGTCGAGGGTGTAATAGATCAGCCTTTTGTAAGTTAACCAAGGCCGTGCGTTTCCAGGCTGAGAAAGCCCGATGTATGTATGTACGGTATGCAAGGAGGATGCGCGTTGTTACGTTAATGGCATGCTCCGCGCCCCATAGTGGTTGGTAATAAAGTTACCATGGTAACTAAAATAGAGTTAACTACTTAGTTAGTTTGTTAGTTAGTTCGAGCCTTTGAAACAAACCTCTGGGAAGGGAAGCCAAAAAATTTCATGCAAGAAATTTTCATCTCACCATCAAGCATCTACACAAAACCCCAATATTTGTTTCTCCCTTCATAATCTTCTTTTGAGAACATATTTGAATAAACTCTTCAAAAGAAATGTTGGCAGTCCCATACTCATTTTCTACTCATGCGGTCGATTAGCTAACCTCCCAAGGCAGGTTCCT